TGAAGTTCATATTGCATGTTCTCTACAGAAGATTAGATGTGCAAGAATAATCATTTGAAAGTTCATTGTCTTCCCAACATCCGATTATTGACGTGGTCTCCCCAGTGCATTACTAAACATGCATCATTACATTGCGTCATTACATCGCATCTACTAAAATGCATATCATTTCCATTGCAAGGAGCATTACGCTATAAAAAATTCAAACATGCATAAGTATAAGCCAATTATGTCCACTTGTGGTAACCAGATTGTTATGCACTCAGATTTGATTTATGTCCATAACGAGCCTAAGGGTGACTCTATTATGTTTCCCCAGCAGAGTTTGTTTTGATTCACCATCAGTCGGGTCTTTGGTATTCCTCCATCTCCCCGGTAAGTTCGTGGTTTACACTTGCCCTTTTAAGCTTTTGGTTATTTTACCCGTGTTCGCTTTGCCGTTAGAGTGCGAGTAAGAGTCGGCGTATAACCTTTCTTATTTCTCAAGTATTTAAGTGTCCATACTTGGTGTGTGGTAATTCAGATGATTGCCACTCTTGAAGAATTACACCCCGCCTTTGGCCTGAGGGATTTTTTAGTTCTTGCGTATTTGCAACCTATCGAAAGCCTAACATGTTTTTCTTTGTTAGAGTCTGCTTGGACCAGTCCCTTTCTCTTGTAGAGTTCACATTCGATCGGTGCTCTTTGAAGGTCCTGCTTAGTCGGTTCCTTGTTTTGGTTTATCCACGTTAGTCGGGTCCTCCTTTCGTTAGCCTAGCTAATCTTTTATGTTAAGAGTCTTTCAGTGTCTCTTCAAAGTCTATTTGTCTAGCGTCCTTATTTAGGCGAATGCGCCCTTTTTATTGGGGCTTTCTTCGGTTAATCTCGTTCCTGTGTTCGCTAGCAATTCTAAACATTTGTTTCTTGATGATCAACTTCGCTCTTGTGTATCTAACTCTGACCAGACATGCATACCTGTATCTTTCAAAACCCCGCTTCGGTTGGTATCTTTTTTCAAAATCCCGCTTCGGATGGTGTCATTTCTTTTAAATCTACCTTCGATTGACATCATTTGTCCGGAGTCCCATTCGTTTGGTCTCCTTCCTCAGTAAGTCCGCCTTCGATTGGTGTTTCTTTGCAAGAGCTTTCTTCGGTCTGTCTCTTTCGTACGTATCCGATACCAACCACGGATATGTATTTTCAATACCTGTTTCATATGTCTGCTACCAACCTCAGACATATGTTCTTGTATCTTTGACGTCTCTTTCGTACGTATCCGATACCGACCACGGATATGTATCTTTGATGTCTCTGTCGTATGTATCCGATACCGACCACAGATATGTATTTTTGATACCTGTTTCATATGTATGCTACCAACCTCAGACATATGTTCTTGTATCTTTGACGTCTCTTTCATACGTATCCGATACCGACCACGGATATGTATCTTTGATGTCTCTGTCGTATGTATCCGATACCGACCACGGATATGTATTTTCGATACCTGTTTCATATGTCTGCTACCAACCTCAGACATATGTTCTTGTATCTTTGACGTCTCTTTCGTACGTATCCGATACCGACCACGGATATGTATCTTTGATGTCTCTTTTGTGCGTATCCGATACCAACCACGGATATGTATTTTCAATACCTGTTTCATATGTCTGCTACTAACCTCAGACGTATGTTCTTGTATCTTTGATGTCTCTGTCGTATGTATCCGATACCGACCACGGATATGTATCTTTGATATCTATCTTGTGCATATCTGATACCGACCACGGATATGTATCGTTGATATCTCTTTTATGCGTATCCGATACCGACCACAGATATGTATCTTTGATATCTCTCTTGTGCGTATCCGATACCAACCACGGATATGTATCTTTGATATCTCTTTTGTGCGTATCCGATACCGACCACGGATGTGTATCTTTGATATCTCTCTTGTGCGTATCCGATACCGACCACTGACATGTATCTTATCTATATCTTTTGTGCGTATCCGATACCGACCACATATATGTATCTTTGATATCTCTCTTGTGCGTATCCGATACCGACCACGGATATGTATCTTTTCTATATCTTTTATGCGTATCCGATACCGACCACGGATATGTATCTTTTATATCTCTTTCTTACGTGTCCGATACCGACCACGGATATGTATTTTTGATGTCTCTTTCTTGTATATCCGCTACCAACCCCGGATATGTGTCTCTGATATTTTTTTCGTATGTCTACTACAGTCTTCAGGCATATATCTTTTGATACCTTTCTTACAAGTGTTTGTTACTAAATCCCAACAGATGTTCCTTGATAACCAAGTTATTCTCATGTGTATCATACTCTGGTTAAACATACATCTAACCCTGATGACCCATGTAATCCAAAAAGCAAAATAATATAATAAAAATAGATTCCGAAAAAAGAAAAATAATAATACCTGACTGACTCCGGAGCGCAAATTTTTGGGTCCTTTTAAGTATTTAATCTTCTTCCACCTTGAAAGTTCGAAAGGTTGGCGCCAATCTCACCTTCAGGTTGAAGACGATTAAATAGGGGCAGCTGTTGCACCCCAAAATTTGCCCTCCTAATTTCCTTTATTTTGGCTTAGACTTTTGCATTCATTTGCATCTTTTTCATTAGGTCACTAACATGGCATACATTTCATTCAATATAGCTCTGAGGTTCAAAGTTCAGTGGTTGTGCGATACTAGGGTTTCATAGTGGTTAAGGCGCTCATATCCAATAAAGGACTTCTTCTCCCTTAAGCAGCAAGGCTATTGTCTTCTGATAAACAACCGATTGTAGGTCATTCTGGTCAAGAACTCTAGGACGTGACCTAGCATATGTGGGCTTCGAATCATGACGTCCTTTCCTATAAGTATGCTTGTCATTTGATTAGGATTAATGACTGTGACATGACAATCGTCTACTCCTCAGTTAATCAAATTAGGTTTTGTTGAATCATGGTTCAAAGATGTTTTATCCGGACATTTCTCTGTGCGTCTGAACGAGGAATCAAGATTGTGAGGGTTTCACATCAAGGGAATTCTTCTGTGGTTCAGACTTTATCATCCATCTGTAAGATGTTCCTTATGACACTAATCTCAAGTTGAAATAACCGATCGCTAAGGGTTGAGGATTGAATTGTGAAGCGTGGTTCATGACCTAAGATATGAATTCATAGATTTCACCTTAACCAAGGCAATCATTGTCCTCATCATTGTCATTTGTTATCTGCGATGTGAGTAGGTTTGGATTAAAGTAGGTTTCTCATAGAAGAATTCATGCAAGGTAATTCAAGGTTCAAGGCATTCAAGGCAGGGTTTGTTCAACATGGCATACCTGGTTGATGGGCTTACAAGCTCTTATGAGACCTTGAGATGCATAATCATGGGCCAATTTCAAAGATATGTGGATAAGATCTGTTGACTTCGGTTAAGGTAAGCTTTGAAAAATTAACTTTGGGACCAAGGTCTCCCTTGAATTTTCATCTAATAGGTGTTGGGAATTCGAGTTGCATTTGAAGAATGGTATGGTAAAGGAAAAGAAATATTGGTTCAGAAAAGAAAAAATTCATTAAAAATCAGGGTTTCTATTCATTGATAAAAGTTCAAGTAATTGAAGATCAGGGGAAATAAGGTTTCATATTAATCTTGATCATATTCTTTCATTATCATTTACATCCATCTTTGATGATTTAAGGTCGTCGATTAGGGAGGACTTTGTCAAGATAAGAGACTTGTGGATTGAATCGTGGAATATGAGGCATGATACAAAAGGCAAGGTTGTGAATTTTTTTAGGATCAAGATCTTATTGACTATTCAAATTATTTGTCATTCAAGTTGATTTGGGTTCAAGATTGAAGTTAGGAGTTCATTGAGAATGCAAGTGTGATTTGGATTTGAAGTTTGATTTGAGTTCAAGATGTTCGAAAGTGGTTGATTGGATTAAAGTTGGCAAAGAGCCTTAAGTATTGGTCATATGAGTTTCTTGGAAGGTAAAGTACAGACTGCGAGGTCTTGTTTCAAGTCGGAGTTCATACGCATTACAAAGACGTTCATCGTTATTCCAGATTCAAGTTGACATGTGTTCAAATTTTATTCGAACCCTTTCATTCATGATTCAAGAAAATACTATCCAATTCCATTCAATTTCATTCAAGTGTAACAATACCTTACAAGAAAATTTGATGCTTTCATGTCTTCAAGCATTTTTTCAAGACTTTGTCATTTAAACTCCGTCCTTAAAATTCATCACCCAACATTTTAAGCTCAAAGTTCATTTACAATTCACACTATAAATTTCAAGTTCATCCAAACCAAACATTCATTATAAAATCATTACAATCCCATTACACCAATATTCTACAAAGAAAAAAAACCGTTACAAAATACACTTGAACAAAATTCTTTAGTCCTAAAGGTGCTAAAATTCCATGAGTAAACTTCTAATTCCATGCCATGCCAAAGTTCTTCATCTTCAGTTCATGACCTGCACATTCATACAAAAAAATCCAAGTCAATACAAGCAATCATGCCAAAATATCCTATGCTCATACAAATTATTCGACACATGAAAAACCATTAATTAACCCAAACCAAATTCTAAACACATATATGGAACAACCTGCATACCTTAACTTTGGCAGAGAATAGGTCCACATCATTCAAACTAACTGCAATTGAAAGAAAAATCAAATAATTTTTTAAAAGTAAGGAAGCTTCAACTAAAATTAAAAGCATTACAAATAAGATGACAATACCACACATAGCAGTCTGCTTCCCAAGTTGCTATAGTTGCAACGGGATCTCACAACTCTTTTCCCGAAGACCATACACAGAGAAGTGGGTCTGTGTCCAGTAATCATCCACAGCAGCGTAATACTTTTAGAAATCGCAGTAGTGGTCCACATCAGCGTGGAGATGGTTCTCACCATCATAACTATGGGAACAGGCGTGATCAAGACTGGAATAGTCGTCGAAATTTCAATGGTAGAGAAATGCATGTGCCACCAAGAGTTTCTCCAAGAATAATAAGGCCATCTCTGCCTCCTAATTCTGCACAATTTATTCATCCACAATCATTGCGGCCTTTTGGTGGCCACATAGGATTCCATGAACTAGCACCTCCAGTGGTATTTGTCCCAGCTCCAGCTCCACCTCCACCCCAGGATTCACTAAGAGGTGTTCCCTTTGTGCCTCCAATGGCACATCCCACTCTTTATTATGCAGGGGGGCCAGACCCTCAGTTGCATAGTATGATTTTTAGTCAGATTGAGTACTATTTTAGCAATGCAAATTTAGTTAGGGATACATTCTTGCGGCAGAAAATGGATGACCAGGGCTGGGTTCCAATAAAACTAATTGCAGGCTTCAAAAAAGTATTGCTTTTGACAGACAATATCCAGCTTATAATGGATGCAGTTCAAACTTCACCTGTTGTTGAAGTGCAGGGAGACAAAATAAGGAGGAACAATTGGATTGGATGCTATGATGGGAGGACTGAACTGATTTCTCACGCAGATAAGCTTCTACAGACATGTGAAGCTATTGATACAGATGATGATGATGATGTTAAGGAAAAAATTCTAAAGCTTGGTATTTGCGTCCTGCATGGTTCAGAAAAAGTCGCTGCAAAGGAGCTTCTGAGCCGTATTACATTGGCCGTGTCAAAGCTTAAAAATGGGACTAATACTGAAGATATCCTGAACGATGACAATCATACAGCTAATTCTTCAGGTTCTTCAGGTAACGGCAATGCTGCAATGGATACTACAGACGATGAAGGTCCTTCTAAGCATCTAAATGCTCAAAAAGGAACACAGTCTTTTCGTTATCAATTCGAGTTATTAAAGCTAGATGCTGAGTTTGATAAGGCTATGGAGGATCTTGAAAAATCCCAGAAGTATGAATATAAGCTGGCAGAGGAAAGTCTTCATACGCATAAGAAATATTTACTAAATATTTCACAGCAACTGGATAAAGAGAAATCCGAGTTAGCAAGCAAATCCGACACATCTTGTTCGAGTGTCTTGCTTCAAACTGTCGAGAAAAGAAATGAAAACCTAAAACGGGAACTCTTCCTCAATCACCTTACGCTACTGATCCAGCATGGTCTGACTCCCTTTGGAAAATTCTGCAGGTTACATGGGATGATCCTGATTTAGTTACAAATACGAAGAGGCTGAACCCCCCTAGCGATTTTCTAAAAGATTGTTAACCTCCATAACTGCTAACCAATTATAACTGAATTTAAAACTCTCAAACTGTAACTAACTTCCTCATCTCCTAACAACCTAGTGCTAACCTAGTTTTGAAACTAACAGAATCTCACTTCTAAAAAAAAACTGTCAAAGTTAACTTCTAACCGACTACACCAAGTTACTGAATTTAGAAAACTAACTCTAACAGTAGTTTTTAGCTTCCAACTGACTTGTTCCTAATATCTAACATACCTAACTTCTAAGAGAAATTTCAATGGCAGTTATTAACAGAACCAATAGAAGTTAACAGTGCTAACTGCTTAAAATCTGTCCGTTCATCTTGTAACTGATTGATTTGATTCAACGACTCAGATCTTCACGTCTCTAACCGTTTCCACCTCCCTCAACTACCTATATAATCCAAAACTCCCTCCAAGTTTCAGAGGACGATACTTTCTCTTTTCCAGTTTCAAACTTCATCCTCTCTCCACTATTTTTTTCTATCCTCTTCCATCAACACGCTTCATTTTTCACCCAGAACTCAAAAAGTTTTCAGAATTCTCTCTCTTTCTTCTCTAACCAATACTCTTCACCCTTCAAGCCACTCTTCATTTTTACTTATTTCATCATCTCTGCACATCTTCAACCCACTTCATCATCTTCACACCAACCTACAACATCAACGCATCATCACAATATCAATGTGCACAACAATTTCAATCACCAACGTTCAACGTAGCAACATCACGGTAACATCAACAACATCGCCTTCATATCTTACACAGTAGCAACAATTCAGAAACGGGAGAATCGAAAGATAAGAAGAAGAAGAGAAATAGCATAGGCAAGAGATTGAAGAGTATACCTCCTATACCACTGGTCTTTTCTGATTAACACCGCCACTTCGAATAGCTACCGGATAGGTAAATCTTCTTTTGTTGTTCTGCAATTTCTGTTTCGAATAAGTTGTTGAATCCACAAAAAGATACGAAACACAGAGAAAATCGAAATGAAAACGAATCGGCGGAAGAGATGTTGAGATGTTTGAGATTGAGTCAAACTCGATGGTTTGCGGAGGTGTTTGCTGGGATTAGGTGTTGAGACGAGTTGACGAACGGGTGAGGTTGAGAGGCGAGCTCACTGAGAGGAGAGTCGTGTCATCGAAGATGAAGTCCCGGTAAATATTGTCCCGTTGAATGGAAGCCAGGGCGGAGAGATTTTGTTTAGCGATAGAGCTTTTGACGGAGATTATGAGACAGCGGTGAGCTATTGTGGAAGAAGGCCCTGCAGCACTGTGTGGAGAATTGTGTTTTAGAAGGATTTGAAGAGATACTTTTAACCCTAATTCCTCTTCCAATTCACACTGTTCCTTCATTCTCTTTACTTTACGTTTTTTATTTCAAATGTTTTTATTAATTGTTTTTTTAAATATAATTATAACCATGTTGAATAGAAACTGGTGATGATTGGAGTGATTTGTCCTCTGAATTGCAACTCTCCTCTAGGCCCATTACACGTTTTTTTTTGCGGTTTGGAGCAGTTTGTGAACAAAAAGCAGCCTTGGCCCATACCATTTTTGAAGAGATATTGGAAGTGACAAAAATGTTGTGGTTGGATTGTGTTGACGGACCTAGCGCTCGGCTTTGTTTGCTAACCAGACTCCCTTATTCCAATTTTCACCCCCTATCTGTTTCTAATTGTTTTAGTTTTTTATTTCAGTTTAAATTTTCTTTTAAACTTTATTTAATAAAGACTAATGCTAATGAAACAATAAGAAAAATAGGTAGAGTTTAGGATTTTTTTTAAATTTTTTTCTATATCTTTCCATGATAAAAATGATAAAAATCAGTCAAAATTTGTTAGATTTTTTATTTGATTTTAGAAATTAATTCATAATTATTCGATTACTTGAGACTTGTGATTCACTGTTGTTTTTCGAGATTTGAGTCTTATGCAGGTTTATTATGCGGTATGCGGATACGCTTGAAATTTCGATTGTGATTTATTTTCACATCGATGATGCTTCAACACTTATTCCGAGCATTGGATTTCTAATTCTTTTCTTTGTTGATGCTAGCAGCTCGTGAGATCATCAAGTTTCTTTGCTTTTTACTTTGCTCTACGAGCTAGTACTCGTTTGGTATATTTTATTTCCACTCTCACCCCACATTTATCACTTCCCATAGATTGCATGGTATGATGACTTTAGGTTTAGAAATAGGTTAGTCTCCCTGTGACTTTTCTTTTTTTCTTTTCGCATATGCATTAAAAAAATAAAAACTTCTTTTTCTCGTAAACTTCAAAAATACAAAAAAATTTACTGACGAGAATCATATCTTCGTTAAGTATGTGAGACGATAAGCGGGTCTCTTCTCGACCTTATTGATCTCTTATTCTAAGCTTTGGTGTGGTTTAAGTCTCAAAGACTCATTTCATGAATAAGTAGAGAAATGGATAAAATCTCTCTCTTGAGGTTAACTAGCTATTATCTACAAGTAAAAACACCAACAAACATAAAAATCTTTTTGCCCTCGGGCCTTTCTTTCAAATCCTTTTCAAAAGAGCGTATTAATTCACTTTTGTGCTGACGCGTAAATCTCCAAAGGTCGAGTTGCGGCAGAAGGCGAGATTAATATTGTTCGTTAAAGAAAATACAAACAAACAAAAACACATAAGCCGAACTATGGCTGCTCTGATTCCTTAAAAAGGATACGTAGGCATTGGGGTAGGGCCCAGGCGAGCACAATTTTATTTTCCCTACATTTTTCCCTTTTCTTTTGCATGCATTTTCCCTTAGCAGTAATGAACAGTAAGCATAGATTAAACACACCCATAAGATAGACAACAAGAGTGGATACCGTAGAGTTCTACGGGCGTGTGGGGTGCTAATACCTTCCCCTCGCGTAACAGACTCCCTTACCCTTATCTCTTGGTCGTTCGACCTTGATTTCATCCTTCTCGGGTTTTCTCGACGTTTACCTTTCCCTTCATGTGGGATAAAAGACGTTCGATGGCGACTTCATTGTTTGATGATTTTCAGCCGGTTGTTTCAATCACAGTGTTAAAATGGATGTGTGAATCAGGAGCGTTTGATGATGATATGAAGGTTGTGGTGGGAAGAACATGGTAAGGTTTCTAAATGCATGGACACAGAATCAAGGAGGGTTTATATATTCCATCCTTTGTCATTTTTCTCATTTTTTCTCTTCCCGTCTCTCTCTATAATTCCATCTCTTCACTAACAAAACTTAGAGAGAGAGGATCTGACCTCTCCCTGGTCGTTCCGTCCACCTTCTTCCACCACCAACCACCCCCTTTTCCCCAGTTTTTCGGTTGAATATCAACCGGAAACTTCAAACATTCAAACCCTCCACCGTGAATCTTCATTTGTGCTCGTAGAATCCTAAGAACCCTATGGGTTCGTGATGAACCGTAACTGTCCCCAAAACCCAGAACACCCAACAATGAATAACCCTAAACCTAATCTTCAAACAAACCTAAAAACCTTAACCCTAGGATCTAAGAACCCTAACCATGGGTTAGAACCCTAACCCTAAAAACCCACAATTTTCAAAAACGCAACATTCTAACATCAATCATGCAAACATCCTAATAATGATTAAGAGCCCTAAAGCTAAGTGATTTGTGTTTACCTCTCCTGCCGTGATACTGGTCGAATATTTGATTTCATGAATCCTCATTCCAATCTTTTACTTCATCTTCTTTTGTTTGCAGGTACCTGAGTGGTAGCGGTGTAGCGGAGAAGAACTTTGGGGTTTTAGATATTAAAGCCCTAAACTTCTTTTCTTCTCCTTTCTGTCAACTGCGTTCTTCTAAATTCCTTCCTCCACTTTAGAAAAAATTTTAGGTTCTATTTATAATCTTAGATTAGAGATAGATTAGGAAAATATTTTATGATTATCGTTACTTTTATAATTGACTTAGGGTAGATTTATTTTGTTAGGGATTAGAAGATTTAATTTGATTGTAATTGATTCAATTCTGTTTTTAGACGGTTTTGTACGAATGTAAAGATTTGATTGAAAATGATTTTATTTCATTTTAGTATGTGTGTGTTACTTATGTTTGGATCTGAACAATAGGTGTTTGTGGGCTTCGTTTACTTAGGGATGAAGTTGTTAGCAAGAACAGGGTGTCGCTGGGAGCTTGAGTTGAAAACCCTAGCTTTGGTTTAGTTGACTTTAGTCAACGTTTCAAACAATAAAATAAATAATATACTTCTCTTAATAAAATAATAAAATAATAATGTTATTAATAAATAATTAATAAAGACTTGATTAAGGTAACTTTATAAATAAATAAATGAATAAAAATGTTGACTCCAGTCAACAGTCTTAGCACAAAGGGTTTCATAAAGAATATGGGCCAACAATTCAATGAGCCTGTCCAATAAAACTGAAGCAACAAAAAAATGTGTACACCCCCTCCTTAAAGCTCACGAAACAACTTTAATGGGCCATCAGATTTTGATGGCCCAAAATGATACACCCCATGTATTGTAATATACGTCCCACTTATATCTTGTAATGGGTTCAACAATTTTAATAAACCCCCTAAAACACATAAAAATGCCAAAATGGCCCTTACCCCTTTAATGGGCCTGAAACGTATATACCTCATATTGTGCTTAGAAACTAAATACACCCCTTTCTTTATTTGTATAAACCCTAGCTTAGAAAATACTTGTTTGTTGATTATTTTAAACGAAGAGACAAGTCGTCATTGTTAGGAGAGAAATCTCGAATAACATCCACAAGGTGTGGGAGAGATGGACCCTGCGTTAACAAGAGTGAGGGTTTGAGAATGCCTCTAGCACTCAAGTGGAAAAGTTGACACCTTTATAACCATGGGGATAGGAGAATGTTGCTCGACTATTAATGAATCATGTTTCATCTTGAAAAAAGGTTTGAATGGTAAAAGGTGCTCGAGCACACAAAAGAGTTTGAATGAGTTGAATTGTTTTTATTAATTTCGAAAGATGTCAAAGTATGATTAAGTGAATTGAAGTTTGTTTAAAGAAAAGAAGTTTTAAAAGAAAAGGCACTCGACAAGGTCGAGGTTAATTATGAAAGCGGTTCGAGTTTATAAACAAAGAAGATTTTGAAAAAAGACGAGAAGGTTTTGAAAATTAAAGAAGATGTGAGGAGATGAAGGGACAATCCTAAAGCATAAGGTAAAAGCTGAAACAATCGACTGAAAATCATCAAACAATGAAGTCGCCATCGAACGTCTTTTATCCCACTTGAAGGGAAAGGTAAACATCGAGAAAACCTGAGAAAGGAGAAGTCACTGTCTTGCGACCGAGAGATCGGTTAAGGGAGTCTGTTATGCGAGGGGAAGGTATTAGCACCCCACACGCCCGTAGTACTCTACGGTATCCACTCTTGTTATCTATCTAAGGGTGTGTTTAATCTATGCTTACTATTTACTATACTACTGAAGGGAGAATGCATGCAAAAGAAATGAGAAAAGAATGTATGGAAAATAAATTTGTACTCGCTTGGGCCCTACCCCAATGCTTACGTATCCTTTTTGAGGAATCAGAGCTACTGTAGTTCAGCTCACATGTTTTTGTTTGTTTTGTGTTTTTGATGGCAATGTTAATTCAGCCTTCTGCCGCAGCTCGACCTTTGGAGACTTATGCGTTGGCACAAAAGTAAACTAATCATGTCCTTACATGAAAAGGTTTTAGAGAAAATGTGCTTTGGCGCATAAACG